AGCACAAGATGCCGAACACCCTTAGCAGGATGCAGCGCACCCTTCATACAACTCGCCGAATACCTCACGGCGCTTCGCGCTTGGTGATGTGAGAGCCTNAATAGCACCAGAAAATATATCAAGTCATACGTAGCTGTCATCCGTACGCAAGGAAGTAAGCACAAGATGCCGAACACCCTTAGCAGGACGAGCGCACCCTTCATACAACTCGCCGAATACCTCACGGCGCTTCGCGCTTGGTGATGTGAGAGCCTGGTCCGGTGAGAACCCGGCGTTATCGTTCCCGGCTTTGTAGGGACGCGAGGTCAACGGTCTAACGACTACGGCATGCACGACTATGAGTACAACCCCCCCAAAAAACAAAACAAAATAATGAAGTACACAATTTCAACACCAGGAGGAATCGCCGCTCACGAAGTCGTCGCCTTGCAACACCCCGGTATTTTCTGTCTATCCACGCCAAGCGAAAGAGGCACGCGTCCCCGTCGCCTCTACGACAAGCGTTGGGTGGCTGTGTGCCAGCCAGCAGTCCAGCTGGAGCGACCCTGCCTGTCTGATTTTTACTCCGCATCACTTCCTGGTTTCGCGCCTACGGGAGGCGAGGCGGTTTCTGCGGCTTGCTGGGGTCCTGGTGCGGACAAGCCTGCGGTTTGCACAGTGATGAGAAACACTGCTGTTGTTGCTACTGCCGCGCGTATTAGTGTCGACACCGGTGTCAACACGTTTCGCCTTTGCCTTTCACAGAGGGGAGAAATACAGAGGATCTAATACCAGTGTTGACACTTTTCGTCCTGCCTTCACAGAGAGGAGGAAGACAGAGGACAAAAATCACACCAAGTTTACACAGTTTTCTTGATTCACAGAGGAGGGAGACCACAACCAGGACAGGCCGCACGGCAGAAGAAGGATGCGGTGAAACACACGTTGAAAAAAAAAACGACGGGAAAAAAGGGGGTGGGTAGGTCTTTCGCGACGAGACACTCGATTCGGGCACTGCCGAGTCGCCGGATGAGCACGGGGACATGTACTACGGCTGAGCTGAGCGAGACGATCGCGACCATGAGCAGCAGACAAAGAGCATGTCAAGCGCGAAGAGCGAAGGCCATTCAATGGATTCCGCCGCACGGAGGTCAAAAATAAATCCAGGCGCTCGTACAGAACACGGCACAGGGTTTTTGAGTGTCTCACGTGGCAGACATCTCGCAGTTCATCAACATGCGCCGCATATGCGAGCTATACGCTGAGTACGTCTAAACAGCGCGGCGTCAGCAGAGTCATCCCACGATAGGGGGGGGGGGAGGAGCCGCATCAACGAAACAACAACTACAACAACCGTCGACACACCTCAGGACCCTCTCCCTCCAGGACCCCCTCTCCCCTCTTCCACCACTGCATGCGCGTCGGCGGCGGGGGCGGCGGAACCCCCACCGGTCCCGCCGCTCGACGGTGCTTGTCCACCGCCTCCGCCGCCTCCCCCGCCGCCGCCGTCCTCCTCGCTGCCATCATCACCGACGCCGCCGAGGAACAGCTTCCCTTCCCCGTCGCTGCCGGCCGGCGGCGGCCGGTCTCCCCCCGCTCCCGGGCAGTACTCGAAGTAAGTCTTGAGGCTCGCGAGGTAGACGATGAAGGCGAGCTCGGCTGAGAGGGGGACGAAAACGGCCCACATTCCGTAGTGGTAGAGGTACACGAGCTGCAGGGAGACACCGGTCGTGACCGTTCCCTGTGTTCGTTTGTTTGTTCGTCGCGTATCCGGTGACAAAAATTGCGGCGGCGAAGGGGAAAAGAAGCGGGAGGGCAGTGTCGGACCAGCAGGCACGGGTGGGCGTTATGACCGATTCGGTCAGAGAGCGTCCCGCAGCGCTAGCTACTCGCTGCCCCAATAACATACGGAGGGGAAACAACGGATTCGAACCCACGTCGCTAGAAACACGTTTCTTGTTCGGTCGTAATCTTGGCCTTCTACATACATGACCAATACGCCCGGCTGTTCTTTTTTTCGTTGGGCAGTTTCTTACGCATGGTGTTTTCTGGGTATTAGATTTGGGGGATCCTTTTCTCAGCCCAAAAAAATATTTGGGCTTCTTAAGCGGAGGAAAATGGCAAATTCTCACAGCCCAAACATTTCCAAGGACCCGGTCGGCCTGTTAGAATATTGGCCCATTGCCTTACAGCGATCGGGTTGGATTATCGCTGTTAGCAATGGGGGGGGTCGGCCCCTGGTCACACCCCGATCGTGCCAAAAAGAGGAACTACACCGTCTGCTGGCCAAACAGAGGCCAGTATCGTGAGGTCATGCACAAACCCTCTGCAGGTATCTAAAATAAGGGCGTTCTGCGTCGTGTTGGCCGCACACGAGCCGACAACGTCAACCCTGCCACGTTCTCTGCTGACGTTCTTGCCTTTCGGCCGAAAAGAGCTGTTTTTGCACCTGCTGCATGTGTGACCTGTTGAAAACGCATGCCAGACGGAGGCTTTAGGCCGATGACATCCACAAACTGCAGCAATGGCGTGTGATCATACACACGCCCTCTGCCCGCGTCCCAGAAACAGAGCGTTTTGTCCAGTTTCGATTGTTCACCGCCTGCAAACATAAACCGAGGTGTGTTTCGGTATCGCCTTGTTGGACGTTGCTTTTTTGTTTTCTAGTTGCTCCGAGTGTGATCAGTCCACAACGCATGCCAGAGAGAGGCCTTTGGCTGGCAATATCCACAAAGTACAGCCGATAGCGTGCGATCACACACATACCCTATGCAGGCGACCCAAAAACAGGGCACTCGGTGTCTTGCTGGTTGCACACGAGTCAAAACCGTTAACTAAAGCATGTTGTGACCCACAAAAGACTTGAATCAGTCTCTTTTTTTTCCCTGAGAAAAAAAGATGCCTCGAGGAACCGTGCAGACAACCCCCCAGAGAGAGAGCGGAACAAACTCTCCGAAAAACATAAGTGCTTAAGATATCGCCTTACACATCACTGTCACGATATTGACGTTTTGCCCGCCCGCCGTTGAAAGCACCTTGGGCATGCATATTGTATCACAGGAATCATAGGCCAGGCAAGGAGACAGAGAGGGAGAGAGAGAGAGAGACAGAGAGACAGAGAGAGAGAGCAGAAGTACGGTGCAAAGCCAGACCCTTTGGCGGGCCAGCCTGAATGCTGGTCCCTCTCATGTAATTATACGTGAGCACTCGGGCTGCCTCTCCTTTTGGTTTGTTTTCCAGTCCCTTTGCCTCCTTGCAGGTCTTCTTGCCTGCACGCCGGGAAACTTCAGCCAAATCATCAGGGATGTCGATAATCGGGTTTTGTAACCGGTTTCAAAGTGCAGCGGTAGGTACCCTGGAAATTCCGTTTTGTTTCCGATTATTTTTCAGTTCCGGGGCCCTCTCACTGGAGGGGGGTGGTTCTTTCGACCCGCGCCCCCCCCTCACACACAGCTTGACACAGCACAAGTACAGCAGCACACACACCGTAGCAACAGCAACAGGCAGCAGACCATCCTCTAGCCACACACAGCAGACCAATACAGACCACATGTCCTCTCAATACTTTGCTTGGCTGAGGACTACATAATGAATTTCATGACACCCTGGAATTTCAGCATTGCATCTGCATTGTAACGTGGCAGCAAACTGGAAAGTAGAAAGAAATTAGAAACAATAGAGAGGGAACGGCAGCAACGATACATACAGTACACCACCACCTTGTACAGCATACAGCGAGCTGCTCTCAACGAACAAAATACACGTTGAATACCACCCAGGGGATGGCACGAGCAGGGTTGTATCGGTTATCGTTGTACTTGGGCCATGAATTCCCAACCATCGTGTCGGGAAATCAGAGCCACACAAAACGCAGTCATGCCCGGTCCTAACCGGAATTGCTCGCCCAGACTTCTGACCCACACCAAGAGTTCGAACGGAAAGATCCACAGAACTCTGAGACGAAAATATTGCGGGTCTAAACCGCTCCGTAGCAAAACCAGACCTCTGGGTTGACTGGTCGGCACAACAACGAATAGGCCGAGGTGGTGAGGTGTCAAAGACGATATATGATCATTTTCAATTCATCTTCTGCGCCCTTGACAGCAGTTGCAACACGAATCTCCCGCGGTGCGGGCTGATTAGATGATGCTCAGCTGACACATCGCGCAAAATTTCGCGGAATACAGCAGGGGCTTGGCGCCCACGTAGAGGAAGACGCCATCTGCATGTTCACGCCATCTGCATGTTCGGGTCAGAACTGAATCTCATGCGTCAGATCACTGTCAGACCAGGAGGGCTGATCAACGCCATAACACGTCAGGTGACAAAGGTCACGACCGGTGTGGTATGGAAGGGCCAGGTCAGGCAACGACTTCTTGTGGATGATTTTTCAAGCGCTCGGTCTGGTGTGATGTTGGGTCCGAAGTTGCGGTGAGACCCGGAACAGATTCATCACTACTGCTGTACAACAAGAACACTCGCATCAAACCGAGCCTAAAACAAAGCAATCCAGAGCCAGAGGAGAAAAGCTGGGGTGGCGGTCACGATTGGACCAAATAAACCTGGGAGTTCTCCAGGGGCTGAGTTGCTGCGTACAAACGTTACCGTTCAGCTGGAGGGAACGGAGGAGGCGCGGGGCCGCAGGAGGAGGAACAGATTACGTTGCTGTCGAAAGCACAAGACGGACGGTCCCGTACTGCTGTGTGGGAGTCTGAGACGAGTGGGGGTGAAAAACGGGACAGGGCGTGATCCTGTTTTACGCGCGGCAGCTGACGCAAAACACGTGCTGCAGAACACGCTGGCCCTTGCTGCTCTGCGGAACACGCAGCTAAAACCGTTACCACACCTGCTGTAAGCATCCTTCGTACAACAACTCGTCGAAGCAGCTTGCCTACCACCGTCGAATTCTTCGTGAACAGCAGGCTCCTCTGCAAAACTGGTAAGGGGCCCGTGGAAGACGGACTGGCTACATCGGAAAGAGTCCCCCGTAATGCCCTCTTTGTACGGCGTCTAACGCAAGAATGTCGTCAGAGTGGAGCACAGATACATCTCAGCGCCCGTGCACTTGTGGTGGATAAAACGAGAAGACATGCACGTCATCGTCAGACTTTTACACAGGTACTTCTCGGCGCCCGTGCACTTGTGTTGGTTGAACCGATAAGACCTGCGCGTCGTCGTCAGAGGAAAGCACAGGTACCTCTCGTCGCCCGTGCATTTGTGTTGGATCATCAGAGAAGGCCTGCGCGTCGACGTCAGAGTGAAGCGCAGCTACATCTCGGCGCCCGTGCACATGTGTTAAATGAACAGAGGTGATTGCGCGTCGTCGTCAGACGTAAGCACAGGTACATCTCGGCGCCCGTGTTCTTGTGTTGTATGAAACGAGAAGACCTGCGCGTCGTCGTCAGACGTAAGCACAGGTACATCTCGGCGCCCGTGCACTTGTGTTGGATGAAACGAGAATACATGCGCGTCCTCGTCAGACGTAAGCACAGGAACATCTCGGCGCCCGTGCACTTGTGTTGGATGAAACGAGAAGACACGCACGTGCTCGTCAGACTGAAACACAGGTACTTCTACGCGCCCGTGCACTTGTGTTGGATGAAACGAGAATACATGCGCGTCCTCGTCAGACGTAAGCACAGGAACATCTCGGCGCCCGTGCACTTGTGTTGGATGAAACGAGAATACATGCGCGTCCTCGTCAGACGTAAGCACAGGAACATCTCGGCGCCCGTGCACTTGTGTTGGATGAAACGAGAAGATATGCACGTCCTCGTCAGAGGGAAGCACAGGTACATCTCGCCGCCGGTGCACTTGTGTTGGATTAACAGAGGTGACCTGCGCGTCGTCGTCAGACGAAAGAACAGGAACATCTCGGCGCCCGTGTAGTTGTGTAGGATGAAACGAGGATACATGCGCGTCGTCGTCAGACGTAAGCACAGGTATATCTCGGCGCCCGTGCACTTGTGTTGGATGAAACGAAAAGACCTGCGCGTCGTCGTCAGACGTAAGCACAGGTACTTCTCGGCGTGCCTTGCTATTGAAGGGGGTGGGTCGATATTCTCTGGCCGGTGGCAACACACAATCAAAGATCAGCCATCCGACTTCGAAGGGTACGTGAAAGCGTCTCCCCCGAATCTATCCAGACCATCTGTGTTAGGCACCGCAGTGTAAACATCGACACTGACTAGAAATCGTTCCACATTGAAGGCGTCTTCCACGATGCAGGTACACAATAAAGGCACCCGGGTTATCCGCGCCATCTCTGCCGCGTCTCTCTACAAAACCAGTGACGTCATCCCACACACCCCACACCTGTATTCAGGAAAAAAACGGAAAAATAATTGACAATACAAGAAATGCTTGTCCGTGCGCCACGGTTCGATGCCGTCCGCCTGCTCCGGTGCCGCTGCTCCGGTGCCGCTGTGGTCAGTCCAAGCACGACCAAACTCGACCCGCTCCGCTTCGTACACGCTCTCGTTGCTGTCCCTCCCAGTCGGTTCCTCGCTTTCTCCCTCGTCGCACTTAGGGTTCTCGGTCTGAAGATTCTCGCGCCGAAGGGCCAACCAACCCAATCAGCTCGTCACCACTTGTCCCCTCGTCCTTTGATGGCAAAACCAGGTTACTGAGACAGTACAGCTCCCCCTAGCAAACCTAGGGCCGTGTACATAGTGCACGTCCACCTTTCTGATGACGTCTGCCTCCGCGCACGAAGATGAGATGGGCATTGCTGCCTACAACGACGGCCTGGAGGCCCGCGCATCTGCACCTTTGTACCTGACGCACCAGAGCCGACCCAACTCCACCACTACGCACGCCTCGCGGCGGGTGCGCTGCAGCAAGAAGGTATCGGCCCCCTGAGGGTGAGTCTAGCCCTGCTCGCTAGAAAGACCCCCCCCCTTTGCCATCGGGGTTGGGTTTTCGTCGCTTGGCAACGACGTTGTAAAACAAGCCAANAAAACAAGCCAATTCACGTGGTGAACTCGGCAACCAGGTTACCGTTGTTTTTTTACCTCCGGTCTTTTTTTGGCGGTAACCATAATGGTGGTCGAGTAGATCGTGTTGTGCGGGGT